AGCTACTTGTGCCTCTGATTTATGATATAAGCACTCTGGGAGCTGAAGGGCATTAGAGAAGCAAGAGAAATACTTGGCTACAGCTCTTCTCCTATGCAGCGTGTTTATTTTATCTTAAAAGTCAACCACACCCTACTTGTGCCTCTGATTTATGATATAAACACTCTGGGAGCTGAAGAGCATTAGAGAAGCAAGAGAAATACTTGGCTACAGCTCTTCTCCTATGCAGCGTGTTTATTTTATCCTAAAAACCAACCACACCCTAAATCCATTGTTTGATGTAGGTTCTTAAAATCTTCGGAAAACCCAGATTCTTAAATCCGGGGGCGGGATTGATATCAACAGGGGAGAACGGGGCTGAATTATTAACCCAGGATAGGTTTTTAATTACACGGATATATTGTAAGCACTCTATTTCCAAAAGAACAAAGCAACAGTATTCTACCTTTCTGAATTCAATATAATTTAGTATTTCGTGTTTTGCATCGAAAAAATGGAATTTAGGGCTTAGTTGATATTTTAAACCAGTTCAAACGCACGGGCTCGGTTTTGCATTAAAATTAAGGCCCGAGGTCTTGAATCCTAATGCAAAACCTCGCCTTTGCGTTTGAACCTTTATTTATAAGGTTCATAACAGTAAGAAACGGCCTTGTTCTCGCCGATCGAGAGGTGCTTCAGCACTGAAAACATTTCTATCGCCTACTGTTGATTTCTTTTTTGAAATCGATATATATTTTGAGATTATATTCTATTTATTAAGATAGCTTAAAGATAATAAATCAAGAAGAAACAAAAAAACAAAAAACAAGATCGATCACTGGAGAATATCCATGGTGACTTATGAAAACGTTAGCGTCTGTCATGTAAAAATATTTMAAATTTAAAATCAGGGACAAAACATTTTCAATTATATAAAAAATGAGTGCTCAGACTTCAGCTATAGTATTTTCTTAGCAAAGTCAAATATTAATGATAAACCAAAGAAAACTAAATCAAATGAAAAAATAATTGAAACTAAAATAAAATTRAGKAAGACATAATAAAATCGAATGAAATGACACTATCTCCCGGCGTTATGTTAGTTATTCAGATTATTATTCTTGATATCGGCGATTGTTATTTATTAATAAAAAAATAATGATATTAAAAACAAACATAAAATATACTAGAAACTTCATATATGTTGTTATATACCTAACCAAAAAGATTCTGCAACTTTAGATATATATGTCTTTAATTTGATTCTCTAATTGTTTTTTCCCTCGAGAACAAAAAGACATAGATATATATGAAGTTGCAGAATTTGTTTGGTTAGGTGT